ATCCACGAAATTCTACCTCCTCACTTAGTTCCCTGCAAGGAGTTGGCAGATAAATTTATGCACGTGGCATATGAAAACAAAGACAAAATTAGAAGCAGAAAGAGAAACTAACGGATAAAAAATAACATAGACGCATTTATACCTCGATTTCTGAATGAGATCGATACCTATTGATTCAAATTTAGAGAATAAATCCAAACAAACTTGAAATGCAAATGTCAGGTCATTTGATACATGGAGATTGAATAAACGTTGTTATTATAGAGAGAGGCACAAAGAGAGTCTCTCAGCAGCAGGTGCCGAAGATAAAACCAAACCTTCGTAAGCTATGGATTTACAATTGAATCAAGACGAAACTACTCAATAAGTACGGCCTCAATTATTCCCCCGGTCACGTCCACTATTGAATTTCACACAAAAGTATTTAAGCATGTGTGCTGTCCCAAGTAACACCTTATAAATCCAAATTATTGACAAATGATGCCCAAGATAACAACAAGCTCGCAACTCAAAACAATTCGAAACCCTAGTATGCTTTAATTTTACAACCAATCCAACAACGAAATTACCCAATAAGTATGGCCTCGATTATGCCCTCGCTCACATCCACGAATCAATTTCGCACCAACAATGTTTCAGAAAATGTGCGGTTCCAGTTAATATAATATCTAATATTCAAATTACTGAAAACTAAAACACGAAATAGGTACAGATCAAGAACATGAAATTACCGCTCACGTCTGGCTTCAGGATTTTCTTCTTCTTCTTCTTCTTGTTCGGGTGATTTATAGTCCTTCAACACGCAAACTGGAAACCAGAGCTTGGAATCTGCCATCGATTTTTCTGATCGAACCAAACGGAAAGGTGTGTAGATTTAACAGAGACTCTAGGGTTAGATATCAAGAAGCGCCCTTACAGTATCAAATTCCTAGGTTTTATGCGTGTGATCAATATAAATCGAATTCCTCATATGTGTGGTGCAAACTGTAATTGATTTATAGTTGTTTATATTATTACCTCTTTTCTCTTCCATGTGTTTGAGATTATGCTAATTTTCTTGTTGATCAGGAATTCCTTTCTATTATTATGATTGTTTTTGTGAGGTTCTCCGATGTACTACTATAGATATGGTTCTTTTACGGTTGCTAGACTGTTAGTCTTTGAGTTGCTAATCAATATTGTTAGGGTGTCTCCAATGGTTAGCTATTTGGCTAGCTATTATGACGTGGACAGGGGAAAAGTAAGAGAGAGAGTAGTTACTAGCTACTAACAAATAGCTTATCTATTTCACGTAGCCCAATATTATGTGAGAGGAGTATGTGGGTCCAATGGTGTAAAATAATTATTTTTCTTATCTCTCACATCCATGTCAGCTGACTATATAGCTAGTAATAGCTATTACCATTGGAGATGCCCTTAAACTAATGTTATCCCTATAGTTTTTATATAACTTCACACACAATTTATTGCACTCTTCTAAAAAATCGGTCTAGGCGGCTTTAGGGGGCGCCTAGGCGGACTTAGGTGGACTTGACGGGGCTTAAGTGGGCATGGGCGGACCTAGGCGGGCTCGGCGGCAAATTTTCAATTTTTTTTTTTATTTTTTTTAAATACTAATTACATTATTTTGTTCTTATATTTTCTTTAATATATATTAATATCATTATTTGGAATTAGGTTTGTTGATTTATTATAAGTTAAGATAGTTTTATTTTATAGGTAATTAAGATAAATAAAAAATAAGGTATTTAATATTCATTCTAGGCGTCGCCTAGGCGCTGGTCGAGCGCTTAGCGCCTTTTATAACACTGATTTATTGTATAGTTCTCTTTTTATCTACATTTCTACTTTAAATTGTGGGCATGTGAAATTTATATAATTATTTTAACTTAAAAAAAATAGATTGGTTTGTGTTGGTGATTTTGTATGTGAATAACTTGTCTATTTTTGTTTATTTGCCTCAACATGATATAATTGTAACTTAATTAATGATTATTTTCAAGTTCACTTTTTGTTGCTTGAGATATTTCATGTTGCAAATAACTTAATGTTTAGTCTTGTAATCATTGTCATGAT